CACGTTGCTCCAGAGTTGAACCAACAATGGGGGCAGAAGGGCAGCAGGGAGAGGCAGCCGGGCCTCCGGGGACGCTAGCTCATTGTCATAGTCCTGGGCGCTCAGAATTACAGGCTCCCGACGAGACACCTTTGTTTACGGATTAGCACAGACACACGGGAGGGCTTCAAAAGGAACAGCTCACCGCGATTCCCAGTCTAGGGCCCTAGGATCACAGCGGAATGCGGCGATGCTCTGTGCATGGTCAGGCCGGTGCCGCCCGCTCGGCCCCAGGTCTCAGGCCTCTGCCCCCTCCGGGACCTCGCCACCTTGTAACGCAACCAGCCAAACTCAAGGGCTGTCACACCATCCTTTGGCCTTAATGCGGTACATTTTCTTTTTTTATTCAAAAATGTTTTTTTTTTTATTGATTTCAGAGACGAAGGGAGAGGGAGAGGAGAGAGAGAGGGAAACATCAATGATGAGAGAATCATGGACCGGCTGCCTCCTGCACGCCCCACACCGGGGACTGAGCCTGCCACCCGGGCACGTGCCCTGGACCGGAATGGAACCGGGGACCCTTCGGTCCGCAGGCCGATGTTCTAGCCACTGAGCCACACCGGCCAGGGCTTTGCTGAGACTTGGAAACGCTGCCTCGCTATTGGAAATGCGACTCCTGAGCTTCCAAGATCTACGCAGTGTTCCTCCGTGGACAGATGAGGCGCCCCCGTGTCGGTGATGGGAAATTTCCACTCTTAGTTAGACATGGGCTCGGATTGAGTCACAGCCAGTCAGGGACAATGGAAATGTTGTTCCCTCTGCCGCCGCCTCTCCCCCAGCCCCTCCCCCCGGCATTGCTGGGATTTTTGCCATTCTTGGACCCGGGCTCCCGGAATGTGACCATCAGGTCACTACCAAATTGCGTTTTCCCTCTGGGGGCTCCGTGCGCGCGCAGTGGGGATGCACGTGTGCCTGGCAGGAGACAGGCCCCTTCCTGTTTCCCTGCGAGTTCCTGCCCGCCCCACTGTTCCCTTCCCGGCTGAGTCACAGGTGAATGCCGGGGACAGGGAGGAGCCCAGCCAGGCCAGCGGAGGAGCAGGGAGATCACGTGAATTATTTGCACCTCGTTTTTGGCACCCGGGGTGACTCTGAAATCAAACCTTTGAGGGCTCTGATGTTTCTTCCGTTTCTATAACTTTATATGTATTTGCATTTAAAATATATATTTTTATTGATTTCAGAGAGGAAGGGAGAGGGACAGAGAGAGAGAGAGAGAGAGAGAGAGAGGGAGAGAGAGAGAGAGAGAGGGAGAAGCATCAATGATGAGAGAGAATCGTGGATCGGCTGCCTCCTGCATGCCCCACACTGGGGATCGAGCCCACAACCCGGGCCTATGCCCTGACAGGGAATGGAACCGTGACCTCCTGGTTCATGGGTCGACGCTCAACCACTGAGCCACGCCGGCCGGGCCTGGGTTCCGTGGGTTCTTGCCAGGTTTGTGGATCTGGGTTAAGGTCTCGGGTTTCCTTGAGGCTGGATAGGTCATCAGCAACTCGTGGCCTCGGCATCTTATTGGACAGGCTCTTCCCAGGGACCGGGAAGAGAAGCTGCTGGGAACAGAGGCCCTTACAAGAGAGACAAGAAGGAAAGATGTGAGGTAGTAACCGGAAGAGGCCCCGAAAGAGAGATCCGCACCCGCCTCGCAGAAAGGAGGCGGGCGATGCCCGGCCGGCCTGGCTCGGTGCTTGAGCATCGACCTATGAACCTCGGAGATCACGGTTTGTTCCCGCTCAGGGCACAGGCCCGGGTTGTGGGCTCGATTCCCAGAAGGGGGCGTGCAGGAGGCAGCCGGCCAATGATTCTCTCTCATCGTGGGTGTTTTCCACCTCCCTCTCTGCCTCTCCCTTCCTCTCTGAAACCAATAAAAATATATATAAAAAGGAAAGAAAAGAAAAGGAGGCGGGTGATGCCTCGGATGCAGAGAAGGTGCTAGAGAGACACACAGGCAGGATGGAGGAGACGTCGGGGAAGGCCCCCTGGGGATGGATGTCTTCATCTTGTAAGTGAACAGGAGTCAGAGTCGCTTGCACGCTGGGGGACGGGTTACGTCCTGGAGTCTCAAGGTGCCTCGTGAACCCGGCTTTGACAGCCAATCCAGAGAGAGATACAGGCATCAGGTAGATAGAGATTAAAAAAAAAAATACCAGCTTTGTTAATCATTCCTGTCGGGCGTGGAGGGTGTGGTTCCCTTCTTGCCGAAGACACACCCCAGAACGCGACACACCCGCTCAGACGCAGGCAGCACGGGCCTCCCTTTCCCACAGGCAGATCCAGCTTCCCTCGCCGGCTTGGCTCAGGAACAAGACAGAGGGAGCCCGCCGGCGTGGCTCGGTGGTTGAGCATCCACCTGGGAACCAGGAGGTCTCGGTTCGATTCCCGGTCAGGGCACATGCCCGGGGTTGCGGGCAGGATCCCCGTAGGGGGCGAGCAAGAGGCAGCCGGTAGAATATTCTCTCTCATCATGGATGCTTCTGTCTCCCTGTCCCTTCCTCTCTGAAATCAATTTAAAAAAAAAAAAAAAGGAAAGGTAATCATTAAAAAACAAACAAAGGATGAGAAAGCCAGGAGATTGAGGACTTCAGCCGCGCTCCCTGTGCAATCTCCCCGGGCGGGCTCTGCCCTACAATTAACTTGAAAGGCGGCCCTGGTGAAGAAGTCGGCGGAGTTTAAAGGAGCTGGGTGGGAACTCGCAGCTGGATTGGTCGCCGTGTCGATCCGCCGGCCTGGAATGAGATGCCAGGGCAGGCCTGGGCTCAGAGCTCCATACAGAACACCGTGGGGTCGTCAAGTTCCGACCGGGCCCGGGACCCCCACTGAGCATCCTGTGTTCATGGGAGCAGTTAGCTCTGTCATCCAGGAAACACTCCCGTGTAATTTCTGGGCCGCTGCCCAGGGGAGGGGGGATGGCTGTACGCGAAGAGCTGACGGCGCATGAAACGAGTTTCAACGACCGGCCGACTGCACAGCTCCCAGGGGCGGAGCTCCGGCCTCAGAGACGCGGGGACTCTCAGCGTGCGGACTTGGACCGGGACCTTGTATGTCGTAACGGAGAAGGGTCTCTGAAAGGCCAGTGAAGCGATGCCACGCATAGGGGTCCTCTTGGAAGTTGCTCCTAAAGGCCCCCCAGTGAATACAGTGCTGTACTTATCATTTGAATGCAATGGAAAGCGTTATTTGCGATGCTTTCAATCCAATTTAAATATTTCGATGTAGCCCGGCCAGGGCGGCTCAGTGGTTGAGCGTCAACCTGTGAACCAGGAGGTGCCGGTTGCATTCCTGGCTGCGGGCTCCATCCCCAGTGGGGGGCGTGCGGGAGTCAGCCCATCAGTGATTCTCTCTCATCATTGATGTTCCTCTCTCTCTCTTCTCTCTCTAAGATGGAAGACCGTAGAAACATGTAGCTATAACACAGGTGACTTTTTTAAAAAAATATATTTATTGATTTTTTTACAGAGAGGAAGGGAGAGGGATAGAGAGTTAGAAACATCAATGAGAGAGAAACATCGATCAGCTGCCTCCTGCACACTCCCCACTGGGGATGTGCCCTCAAACCAGGTACATGCCCTTGACCGGAATCGAACCCGGGACCCTTCAGTCCGCAGGCCGACGCTCCATCCACTGAGCCACACTGGCCAGGGCTCACCAGGTGACTTTTGCTGAGGACCGGTCATCCGCTGAGTGACCCTCTCCCTCGCTGTCCCCAGGGTGGAGAACATGTCCATGCGGCTGGAGGAGATGAACGAGCGGGAGAGCTTCATGAAGACGGCGCTGCAGACGCTGGACCTGCGGCTCTCGCAGCTGGAAGAGCTGTCGGGCCGGGTGGCGAGCGCCCTGGAGGCCCTGGCGGGGGTGGACCGGTCGGAGCTCACGCACACGCGCTCCCGCGCCTCCTCCGAGTGCGAGGCCACCTTCCTGCTGCGGCAGAGCAGCGTCAACAGCGCCGACAGCGGCGGCGGGTTCGGCGGGTTCCGCTTCCACTTCCCGGCGGACGAGCTGGGCGAGGCCCCCCTCCCCAGGCCCCCGGGCTCGGGGTTCAGCCAGAAGAAGGCCTGCTCCTTCCGTGGGAAGGGAGAAAGGGACCCCCAGAGGCACCTGGTCCCGGGCAGGCAGGGCAGTCTCCGCCTCCTCCCGGCCAGGAGCGCCCCAGCCACCCCCGGGGGCAGTCGACTCGCCTTAGACAACATCCAGGACCCATCGGAGTCGAAATCGGGCCCAGAAATCGGGGTTCCCGGGGACGAAAGGCCCACGGACTCGGAAAGGGAGAGGGAAGAAACCCAGTCCCCCAGTGTCACCCCCACAGCGGCCCCGCCTGCAGGGAAGAAATCAGATCCGCAAGACGCGCAGCTCACAACGGCGGGAACAGCACGGGTGGAAGGGGCTGTGTCCGGCCCCCCGGGAGACACGGAAAGGCCACGCTACGACCCGGACCGGGCCTTCCATGCCTGTCGAACCCTGGAGTCCACGAGTTTTGTGTATTCCCACGGGAGGAAGCTGGTCGGCGGGGTTCACCGGTGGGGCGCGGAGGACGGGTCCCTCCTGGATCAGGCGTGGACCGCGGAGTGGAAATACCAAGTTCAGAGGATCACGCGGTCTCGCAGCACCGACATCCACGCCTACGTGGTGTCAGAAGCCGCCAGGCAGGCGGAGCAGAAAGACCCATCGACAGACACCGAGGAGGAGGCTCACGGCGCTTCCAGAGGCGTCCCCTGGACCCCTCGCCTGTCCCTGGCCGTGACCGAGAGAGCGGAAAAGGGGAACCTGCTGGCGGTGAAAGCAGACCAGGCGTCGGGGTTCCCGTCGTTAAGGTCCAAGAGTCTCCACGGCCGCCCCAGGAGGGCTGCGGGCGTGCAGGGCGGGCTAGACACACCCGGGCATGCCAGCAGCGTGGGGAGCCTCGTCGCCGCGCCTGGGATGGAAACGAAGGCCCAGCCAGAGAAAACTTCCGCCGAAACGGAGTGCTGATGCGCTCGGCTTCTCCGGTTTTCGAAATCAAAGCCGCAGAGGATCACGACCCTCTTGGCCGTCGAGACGTCATCAGGTTATGAAAACGTTTGCATGAAAGATATTCGGCAACGTGGACGCGTGATGGAAATTTCAGGCACGGCACTTCTCACAGCGGCGGTGCGACGAGTGCTGTAGATTCCCTGTGTCCCCCCCAAATTCCTACGTTCGAACCCTGACCCCAACGTGACTATAACTGGAGACACGGCCGTGAGGAGGTCATTAAGGATAGAGGAGGTCATAAAGGACTAGTGCCCTGATAAGAAGACACCAGAGCCCGGCCGGTGTGGCTCAGTGGTTGAGCATCGACTTATGAACCAGGAGGTCACGGTTCGATTCCCGGTCAAGGGCACAAGTCCGGGTTGCGGGCTCCATCCCCAATAGGGGGCGTGCAGGAGGCAGCCGATCCATAATAGATTCTCTCTCTCCCTTCCTCTCTGAAATCAATAAAAACATATTAAACAAAAAGCTCTTTAAAATCAATACAAATATATTTAAAAAAGAAGAAGACACCAGAGTGCTCTCCAGCACCCACAAGCTTGCTCCCGCCCGCCCTCAGCCTCGTGTTAGAAGCCAGATGCAGAGCTCACACCGGAGACCTTACCTTGGTCCTGAACTTCCAGCCTCCAGAACTGGGAGGAACCCATCTCCGCGGCCGCAGCCTCCCCGCCGGCCTGTGGTGATTTTGTGGCGGCAGCCCCCGCGGACAGGTACACCGAGACGTCTGAAACGGTCATAAGATTTAGAGTTAGAGCCTTCCCACTTTGCAATCACGTGGTCACATAGGACAGTTACAGAGTCGAGGAAAACCTACACGGGAAAACCCACATCAGGAGCAACCATTTGAAATAAAAAAAAAAAAAACAGCCCGGCTGGCGTGGCTCAGAGGTTGAGCGTCGACCTAGGAACCAGGAGGTCACGGTTCGATTCCTGGTCGGGGCACAGGCCCGGGTTGTGGGCTCCATCCCCAGTAGGAGGCGTGCAGGAGGCAGCCCGATCCATGATTCTCTCTCGTCATTGATGTTTCTCTCTCTCTCTCCCTCTCCCTTCCTCTCTGAAATCAATAAAAAATATATATAAGTAAAAATAAAGAAACACCCATATATTGATTGAAGAGTGTGTGTGGATAACAATCCGTTGCCAACCAGCTTTATTGAGATGTAATGACGTATATCACCGTAGAAGTTTGAGGTGTACAGCCTTACGATTTCACTGATTGTGAAATGATGACCACAATCAGTCTAGTTCGCGTCCATCATCACATGGATACAATGAGAAGAAGCCAAAATAAATTTTTTTCCCTTGTCATGAGAACTCTTAGGATTTACTCTTAACAGCTTTCATACATACCACACGACCGTGCCAACTGCAGTCATGTTGTACCTGACGCCCAGAGGACTTACTCGTTCCAGTTATTCACTGGGGGTTCGGACCGTGTACCCACATTTCTCCCATTTCCTCCCCCCCACGCGGTAACCACAAATCTGATATTTTCTTTTATTTTTTTTTGTTTAATCCATTTAATGTAGAGAAATCACGAACTATTCATTAAAAAAAAAACCTTGAATGTACGTGCACAATAGTGCTTTGAACACCAATAACCCAGTGGACTTAACATTTTAAAACACAATTTTGGTTCCTGTGCAAAATGGAACCGTGTGTCACGCAAACAAGTTCCCCAGAAGGACCAGTAGGGTTCTGAATCCAGAATACATTATTTTCAGGAAAAAAACAAAAAAGGTGACCTTTGGAATCTTAGTGTAAAACTTTGAAATATTTGCATTAGCAACGCTTGTCACAATGATTCACGCGGCCGCCCTGGGGCTGCCTTGCGACGTGAATGGGGAAATGCATTCGGGTTTCCTTCTCCAAAGTCTAAGAAGGGTCTAGACCAGTGATGGCGAACCTTTTGAGCTCGGCGTGCCAGCATTTTGAAAAACCCTAACTTAACTCTGGGGCCGTGTCACATATGGAAATTTTTTGATCTTTGCAACCATAGTAAAACAAAGACATATTTTTGATATTTATTTTATATACTTAAATGCCATTTAACAAAGAAAAATCAACCCAAAAAATGAGTTCGCGTGTCACCTCTGACACGCATGTCATAGGTTCACCATCACTGAGCTAGTCTCAACTCACAGATTCACCGAAATGCCACCCCCCCCCCCGCCTCCCCCAAAGGCGGCTCCGGTTCAGGCCCCGGCTGAGGTCAGCCATGCCGATGCCCGGCGGGGGGAAGCCCGGGCGTCCTGGGCAATGACCGGTCCATGGCCTGTGGGGGCCCCCACTCCGCGAGGGCGCCGGCCCTTGGGCTGCCCACTCACATCGTTACGGGTGCAACGAGCAAGGAAAGCAAGGAGGCGACTTGTTTCACACCGTTTTCCACGTTAACGTTTAATATGAGAAGGTGGAAGTCAACCAACGAGATGGGGGGGGCCTGGGTTTCGGGCCTCAGTCATCAGTCAGTATCCCCGCATCCCGAACCCCATCTTCCCCGGTGTGGGGCCTCTGAGCGCTCTACGTGCAGCCCGACACGCGATGTGCTTTGGAGATGGGTCCCCTGTCCCCCCTCCGGG